TAAAAAAATTATTTTTGTATTTGGGATCTGCTTACAGTAGTACATGTTCAAATTGTTATTGATCAATATCTCTTAAGATCTACACAACCTTTTGGTTCTTGCTCTAGGCTTCTTTGGGTGCAAGAGCCCAGTGATCCAATATAACTAACTATGGAATGAATAAAATAATTATTTGGATCCTTGCCAGTTGTTGGTGCTTGAGGATGTGTTTTTCAACACATCCTAGAATAGGACACTAATCCTACTCCTGATTGCTCCCTTTCAGTCTTAACCAATTATGTCTGGTCTTCTACAAGTATGACAACTGCCACTAAAGAGAAACTGATAGCCTTCTCCAAGCTGGCCCCTCTCACCTTTGTAAACTAAACAATGTTCAGCATTTGGCCAACTTTATCTGGGTTTGGAACTAAGACAGGTTCTAGCCTGGTAATTCTTGGATGGAAAAATACTAGGGCTGTATAATTGTGAGGGATGGTGCTTATGGAGAGGGAAGCAGTGTGATGGATTACAGTAAAGCAGAAATTTCCCAGGAAGGAGGGAGCATATTCCAGAATGGAAAAAAAGATAGGAGGCAACACAGCTTGGATGTGGACAGGAGTCAGAGGAAGAGAATACGGATAGCCACTCCTTAGAATCTCCCAGGGGTTATCTGGTAGGGTGAGAGTAGTAAAGGTTTAATCTGGCAAGATTCTGTCTATTATGTGTAGGACAATAAAGAACTGAACTCTGGTTGATTGTTCTATGTCATTCTTGGGCTAAGCCTGACAACAATAGATTGGGAAGTCAAAAAAGCATCCCAGAAGAAGGCAGTGGCAAGGCACTTCTATATTGTTGTCCAGACAATTACATAGATGTGCCCACAAATTCATCAAGAGTTGAGCTCAACTTGACGGAAATGTTCTTTTCTTTGGGAAAGTATTGGATTTAATTGAACAAGAACACTGATATCTTAAATCTTGCACCACACATCAGGAAACTGGAGAAATATATGGATGCATTATATATATAAAACCACACTTGTAATTTCTTTGCTAATAAGATTTTTTTCCTTCCACCCTTGAACAAAAAATTTGGGCACGTGATGTATCACTGCCATTACCAGGAGAAGAAAATTTCAAAACCCTTTTGGAAAACGACTAAAGAAAAAACAATCAAGGGGGAAAATGTTGACTCTACCATCCTTAGACAGGTTGACATGAATTGCATCAAGAATGCCTAAAATCTATAGCTTGGAACTCCTACAATCTCTGCCCTTGTGATACTTAGCCTTAGAAAACCAGTGGGCAATTTTTAGGCAATTGAGCTACAGTACTACAACCATATAATTGACCAGTTCTGCTTATACAGCTTGATTACAACCTTGATTAGATGTTATATGATTGGGGATCCTACAGAAACGGGCAGACTAAGATTTTTGTTTAATAGAAAGAATTAAAATTCCTTTTCCCTGTGTGTCCATGTGATGTTAGGTTTAAGAGAAGGCTTAGGCACTTTTTTTTGCCCCTGCTGAGAAAATTATGTCGCAGTTTCTTGGAACTTCAAGGACTGTCATAGTTATTCATCACTGTTTGGAAATACAATTTTCTTTTCTTGCTCTGGTCACCTGAAGAAGAGTCACAACTAGATGGGCATTGAAATGTGTGAATCTGACACAGAGCTCCATGAAATGAAATATTTAAAAAATCCTTGGCATCCAGTAGGGCAGCCCAAAGCCCAAAGCCCTGTGTCAGATTGTTACTTTTCCCTAGGGGTGAACTGGAGCGAAGGAAAAGGAGCTGTTTTGTTCAACCATCAGGGAAAAACACAAAGCACTGGGTCAAACCACCTCCAGAAGAGTTAAGCCGTCTATCTTCCATGGATCACTAAATCAAGCCCTTCTCAATTTTGCAAGCTTTAGTCTGTATAAACTCCAGCCAAGCAGCAAAGTTCTTGCTATGTCAAGGGAATCAAAACCAGAAGATTTAGGTTAATAGAGATTGATCTGTCTCCACTACTCTATTCATAATAGGGTGAAATTGGACAGTCTTGGTAAATCTTTCCTTCAGTTCCTTTAGGCCCCAAAGCATACTAACTAAAAATATGCTCATAATGCTTCTGAGCAAATATGCATAGAATTGCACTGTTAGTCATGGATTCTGGCCTTTTATTTTGCTTTAACAATACCTCACAGCAGAAGAGAATATTTTTCCTGTCAGGAATGTAAGAAATTTCCTGTACTAAGTTACATCTTTACATCCATCTGACCAAGTTTGGACTATCAGACCTGATCTGCAAAAATGCAGGCTATCATTAAGATGTTAGCAGTGGTTCACAAAGCCTCTAGTTCTTTGCTGACATATAGCAGTCATCTAGGTTTCTGCAACCCAGCTATAGTAACAATATCTTGGACCATGCTGGCCAACCAAATGCTCCCAGTCAATCTCTAAACTGAGCATAAAGCCATTGAAACCCACCTTACCTGTCATGCTGGAATTCACATATACCGTATATGCCGGCATATAAGACGACTTCCGGAAGCGCTAAACTCGGCGCCAAAGACGGGGGTCGTCTTATACGCCAAGTCGTCTTATACGCTGGAAATACTGGTAGTTTCCGGCGTATAAGACGAAGTTCTAGGAAGGCGACTTGGCGATAAAGACGGGGGTCGTCTTATACGCCAGGTCGCCTAATATGCTGGCATATACGGTAGTTATTGTTGTGTCCTGAGCCTGCAAAAGCAGGCTTGAGACGTTGCATTGGTCCTGGGCATTCCAAAAGCTGGCACTGGCTTTGTGCACATGCGCAAGGCACGAAAATGCCTTGTTATTTTGTTTTGCCATTGTCCGGGTCCCCGGACACATAAAGAGGCCTGCGCGCCTGTTGTTTTTGTTCGAGTATTGATTGAGGAGGAATAAAGAGCTGTTGAACTTCGCCATGTCTATTCATCATTCACAAGCGAACAGAGTATTTAACAGTTATAATGAAGGATAGTTACTTATAGTCTGAAATTCCTCCAACATGACTTTTAAAGCTATCCAATCTGGAGACAAACTTTGCAGCTTTTCTAGTGGTTGGATTCCACTAAGTTCTGGGTACAGAAGGACATCTTTTAGTTTACCTTGAACCTCCCACCAAATAGCTTCCTTGGAAAAGCCTTGTAATGCTACAGTCACTTTTGTGGTTGTTGCTATTATCACCCAAGTGGTGAGATGGCACACTTTGCCAAGAGTGCCACTTGTTATAGTGATCTGGCATTTTTCCCAAGTAATCTGAGTACAGCAAGAAAATAAAACTCTAGGGAGAACATGGTCCAAATGAGTTGTGACCAACCATCTAAGACTCGGAGATGCATTTCAATGTTTAATGGATAATTGAGGGCTTTGGGGGAATAGCAATGATGCAATGTCATCACTGGGGAGATTGGCACAAAATTTTTCAGCTCCCTCTCCTGGAGGGCTTTTAAAAAGAAGTAAGAAAAGTGCATTCTGTGGAAAATTGTGCTGCTGTTGTTATCTGTGATTGCTATCAGACTTTGATAGAGTAATCTCAACTGTGGGGATGGGCTTTGGAGGCTGGGAACAAAAGGACCCAGAGGACTGTAAATTGCCCACCCTTGATCTAAATAAAAACTATTGGAAAAATATACAGGGTAGATAGGTTATTGGACTTTCTCCTTTGATCTGGCAGTGTGTAGCTTTGGAAGGAAGGAAAATTAAATGGCTTTGTTCCTTTCTCTTACAAAGGCTCCTAACACAGATACCCAGCTCCCTCACATGTATAGCACTCCAGTTATTTTATTTCAGAACAGGATTGCACAAAACACTTGGCAGATTTAGGCAATACGTAATCACACCCTTCACACATTTTCAGAAGCCTCAAACTGCTTCCTTTTAATCATGTTCACCCTCCCACCCAAGTCTCTGGAGGCTGTTGCTAGAAATGATGACAAATATAGGCAAATGCTAACTATCCTGACAAAGTTCCCCCTTGGCCACTTGGGAATATGTGATTTAATTATATTTCTGTGTCAGGTGCCAGGACCTGATATTTTAAGTATGTTAAGCATCGAATTACTGAAAATATAATTAATTCTTATCCAGATAGATAGATAGATAGATAGATAGATAGATAGATAGATAGATAGATAGATAGATAGATAGATAGATAGATAGATAGATAGATAGATATAGGGAGGGAGGGAGAGGGAGAGGGAGAGGGAGAGGGAGAGGGAGAGGGAGGGAGAGAGAGAGAGAGAGAGAGAGAGAGAGAAAGAGAGAGATTGACTTTGTTTTGAAGGGGGTTTCAGTAGTACCACAACATAAATGCAGATATGTATGCTCCTAAATAAATATTGCCGCTAAACTCAGTAGGTCTGATTAATTTGTTAAGAAAGTAATGTTTAATTCTTGGGATAACAGTAGACTATTTAGAGACAGGCTAGATAACTAATGCTAGTTCTTAGTGGGTTAATGGGTTAGAATATGTAGAACTTAGATATGTGTAATTGACTTTAAGATGGTTGGTTACACTGAATAGGTCATAGAACAATTTTAATGTAAGCATTTTAAATGAAAGGAATGGCTACATTTTAGCAAGTTTCCATTGTGATATTGAGACTACAGGTATAAAGAGAGGTTGATGCACATTTGAATAGTAACAACAACAAGGACAATTTGAGATTATCAAAAAATGATGTACATGAAAAATGGTAGACTTTGGATTTAAATATTTTGTAAAGGACCCTCATAAGATGATAAAATTTATTATTTTGCATTCCTTAAAATGTGCAAGCCAATCCTCTGGCAATTCTTGTTATATAGTAATGCATGTTATGTCCTTTATTTCATGCCACTGATGTCCCTTAGATGCCAATGATTATGCACGCTTTCCCTTGCTTCCATCTGTAGTGGGTACTAGGGAAGCCCCTATTTATTCTGCTGCCTGTGTTTCTGGGTCCTGCTCCCAAATCCTGACCTGATGATCTCACTGATTATGAGCCTGCCCAGTCATTTATCTGGTACCTTCGGTGGGGGAAGTCTTGAGTCTCCTGCAGAGCCCGTGGACATCAGTGTAGGTCTCCTGAACTTTCTGGAGAGCTTCAGCCCCACGCAGCTCCATGAGGGAGCGCAGCTCCGACAGGGTGCAGCCAAAGCCACCTGCATGGTTCATTTCTTGCCGCTGGTTTTTGGGATAGAAATCCACAGAGCTGTTGGCCATGTCTCCCATGTTGGACGTGAGCTGCAGCCCAGCTGAGTACACCGGGCAGAGGTGTGGAAGATGAAGAGTAGACTTGAGCTAGGTTAGTCTGGCAGACAGAATGGAAAACCTGTGTGGAGAGGAATGGAGAAAGGCATACATTGGCCAGAAAGACAATAATATCTCTGCAAAGAATGTCATCCATCCCCTCTGTTTCCTGGTTGCAAATTCTTCCTGCTTACCTGCTCAGTCCCGGCTATCTCCTGGATTCATTCTATAGAGCCTCAGGGGTGGGGCCACAAGGTTTTCTAGAGGCCAGCCAGCCAGGGGGCCAAGCCATGGAAGAAGCAGAGAAGAAGGCCTTCTTAGAGCTTGGCACAGAAGATGTTCCTGCTGCCCAAAGGAAACCTGTTAGAAAAGCAACAATATAGTTAAGCTCCTGGCACTCATTCAGGTCAGCAAAGCATGAAGTTCCTAAGTCAACCAATGTCTGCAGTGACACATAGAAACAAGTCAGAAATGTATACCTTCCATCAGCATGATGGTTACACTAGTCTTAAAGGTTAATCCGTCAAATACTTCTTCTGTGTGAGAAGTTTAAAGAAATGTAACAGGTGCCTTTAAGTATTTCTAAGACTTTATGTGCCTTCCCCCCCCTCCCCTAAATAATTTTTGGGGAATCCACAGATCTGCAAAAAAGGATGTTGGTGACCCACATGAAGTCCATGGGCCACACATTTTACACCCCTGCACTAAGCCCCAATGTGGTATGTTTAATTTTAACTCAGCTTGTTGTATGAACTCGAACATCGATGTTTGCCAATCAACATTTTATGGTTTAACTCAGTCATTGGGCCTCAGTCAAGAACTATGATTAAAACATAGCATGGTGTAGTATGATGTGCAATTTAAAATACATTGCTGTCTCTCCACCTTCTTTAATCTTTCCTTGTTAACCGTATTTAATTTGTTGATATTCTTTAAAATACTATTTTCCCAGGAAGAGCTTGCAAATCCAAAGGGCCCGAATAAATGTTGATATATTGTAAAAGACAGCAAGATAAAAAGAGCAAGGTTGTTATTTAACTATAAGTAGTGTTTGGAATCAAGGGGCTAAATATAAACTACTGTGCATACCATTCAAACCCTCCATTGCCTTTTTAAATATATTGATAAAAGTGGGATACAAATTTACCAGATTAATAAATCAAAGCTTCAAGCATTTGAATCAACCAATAAAAAGAAACTCCTTAATATTCTTTGTAACATACCATTTAAAGGATATAAGAATGTAATACGTAACGCACCCATATTCATGCACACATACATGCACACATAAATAAGTAAATAGACAAACAAACTATCCCACATCAGGGTTTTATTAAAGAGCAAAACTGATAACAGGAATTTTCTTACATTCAAATAATAGAGGTGGAATAAGTGCTTATTTCTAGATCTGACTGGCAAATGTGTATAATGTTTGGAGAAAAATGGTTCAGGCTGTAATTTGAATTAATCTCCAACTAAAAAAACAGGTCTCATGTTTGAATATGAAAGGCAAACAAAGCCTATAGTTTTCACATACATCTGTGAGTTTCAGGAGAAAAAGAAAGTAGAGTCCTAATTTTTAAGGGATCTGCATGAAATTGGTAAATTTATCTTAGGGCGCTATAGTGTTTCAGATTCTAATTTTAAAAAGTGCTTTGGAACATGGAGATGTTTAAACGTTTGCAATTCCTTAAAACAGTTGTGTCTTTTCCAATGGTTGCATGCCTGCCTGCCCTCCATTTGACGTTTAGAAACAAATGTGAAGTGTTCCTCAGTCCTAATTATATAAGTATGTATGTTTCCCAAGTGCTCTAAATGCAACACAAACACAGGACAGCTCTCAGTGAGTAATGGATGTAAATCTAGATCAGTACTCAGGAACCCACCAAATCAGTCAATGTTGCAAATAAATCTTCATATGTGAAGAAAAGAATATATAAGAATATATAGGCTTTAAGATGTATGATGATCATACTGAATAATTCATGAGTAATAAATTTAATGACTGCTAACATATCTAGATTCAACAAGTAACCCTATAATTATGGCTTCTAAATACTTCAAAGTTCATGAATTTCCAAGACTCAAATAAACTCTGCTCTGTTTATTAATTGTTTTTATGTAATTCATTCCAAATATATAATCTGCAACATTTTGAGACTATGATCAGAAAGAGGGAATGGGATATTTGAGCAATCAAATGTTTGACTTCCAGTGTTGTCTTCTTGTCTTCAAAAACAACATGTAAACCCAAAACACCTAATGTAAATAATGTAACTGTGTCTTATTGTCTCCTGTTTCTCCCTTGATGGTGAACATTTTCTTCATAGTGATTTCAACCAAACAAGGCTTTGGCCCAAGGTGGCTGCTACTATTGAGGAATAAAACACCAGTTTTCAAGTTAGTCCTTCCTTCCTCCTATACAACCTATTACTTTTTCTTCCTCCTGAAGGTACTCCTGGAAGAGGTACATCAACCTCTAGTAGGAGAGAATAAGCTCTGCATCCAGCATAATAGCATGAAGACAGTGATTCCCAATTATTTCCTTTATGTGAGTTGCTTTACATGCATGTGACTTCTTGATGGTGCCCATGGATGCTTCAAAATTAAATGTACTTTTAAAATTAAAATGGTCAGTATTTTCTAAGATGTCCAACTTTCAGGAGAAAGTTGTTCTGCTATCTGAAATATTGTAAAATTTCAAGCTAATCTCTTGCAAAAATGTAAATGAAAATGCCAATATTTAACAAGATTTCAACCAAAAACCAAGAACATCTTTCAAAATTTGGTAGCACTTGGGGAAATGTAGTGGAATTGAAACTCAGGACCACCTGCAGTATCTTCAAGGACCACCAGTGGTCCTCCAAGCACAGGCAGAAAACAGATTGTACTGTACAGCAAGTTATTGTCACAGCAACGGAGCTGTCCAGGGTCCTGAACAAGACGTTTCAGCCAATTTTCTGTTTACTATTGATTTCAATATATTCAGACAAGTGGCTAATACATGGTAGTATCTGTGCTCACATTTTTGCCATGATTTATTATCTGCTCTGGTCCATAATCTATACAAGTGTAATATCATATCACAGTCCAGTAGAAAATTCCCTGCTTATTCTTGAAGTTTACTTTGAAATCTACTGTAAGGTATTTTGTGTTGATACCATGTCTCTGTATTGCACTGTTAATCTTTATTTTAAGAGGGATGCTTTAGAAAAAGTTTAGGATACAGGTTTGTAAACAAATTCCTCTCTCATATTGAACTTGCTTGTACTGTTCAGTAATCATGTCAGTGAAAAAACCTTATTTATGTCCCTTATTTATGTCCAAAGGAGACTGATTTTGTAGTCAAATGTGCAATTTATTATTTGCTTTTAGAAGTAAGCCAATCATTAATGCTTTTGATATTATCAATTATATAAACTGGGTTTTATTTGTCAATTATAGTATTAAAACTGTAGAGTTGTTTTGGCTCTATAGCTCTGGCTCATTGTGGCATCATAGATTTATTTCATTTCAACAAGGAGAATTTCTGAATTCACAAACTATCAAACTGTTCCCTGTGCATTCATTATAATTCTGCAAGGACTGATAATTATGGTGATCCTTAGTAGTAAAGTAGTTGATTACTTTGTGGTTCACTGTGTTGTGTGAATGCAGCCAAATTGTAGTTTTAAAAATGTTTCTAAAAACTTGTGTCGAGTGAAACAGGATGTTCCTTCCAAATAGATGCTTCTGTTAATTTTAATTTTCTTATCCACTGGAATTAGCCTGGAATGCCAAATTACCATGTGGGAGCTATGCAACTATGCAGCTAATTAAGGAATCTCAAAAAGAATTTGAAACCACCAAGACATCATATAACCACTGTCTTTAGAACTTGAGACTCACAGAAAGCCCTAATTAGTATGATCAAATCCATGGGTAGCCTAAACTGGATCCAAACCATAAGCCAGAGAAATCCAACACATATTTGATCCATCCCATTGCATGAAGAATTTCCCTTGTCTTACTTATATACTTAAGTTGCCATAAGGAAGCAAGAGGAATGCGATCCTATGCATGCATTGTGCATCTACATAATGCAATCACTTAGCTGAAGCCACCTCAATGGAACTTGGAATATTGGTCTCACCACCTAACTAGCTGAATGTTCAAAGGGGCCCAATGAATTGATTCCAAAGTCATGCCTAAAGAGTGAGACACAGAAATACTAGGATTACGATTCCCAGAATTCCAAGTAAATGGAGGAGAGGCTAGATTAAGATTGGATTATTTTATCCCAAAATATGATTGTCATGATCATTTGGGGAAAAAAAATCCTCCCTAACTTTCTTCAAGCAATATGGAAACAGGGATACAAATATATTGATTAGAATAATTCGAATCAATTTCCTATCCTCAACTGGTCTTGAAAAAGCTAAGGAGGTTCATTCCTAGTTGATCACCAAGAAATCCCAATGCTGAAGGCTATAATGAGAGGTTGAAAAACTATGCCAGAAGAAAGCAATGATAAACAAACTTCCCAACTCCTGACAAGAACCTACATAGACATATCCATAGAGACAAGATCATTGGGAATCAAGCCCAACTAGAAGTAAACTTTACATGTATCCTGAAAGTCTTTATCCCACAAATATGTCCTGTCAGCTAGCTTGGAACTTTTGCTGAGAGTCAGATATAAATATTTAAAAAACAGGCAACAATATGACTCCATGCATGCCTGTTAGAGGCAGTTCACTTAGAGTGCCAGGGGATCTTGTTTTTAAATATTTAGGAAGCACAAAACCTGAAATAACAAGTCACAAAATACATGTGCAGGAATTTTTTTTCTTGTGGACTGCTAATGTTTACAGATCTACACATGTGCATATGCACAAACATGCGCTTACATATATACACATATATTGTCACACATGCACATACGAGCATGACTAACAGAGGCAATGAGACTGAGGAGTTTTAGTGCCTTTTCACTGGAACTGAAATCTCTTACAATTTCTTACAAGGGCAAGTGTAAAATCCTTCATCCCTTTGCATCAACTTTAACAAAGCCTTCTTTTAAAAGAAGCACTCCAAAATATTATAGTTACTAAGAATTCACATCAATAAACAGTTACACCTTTGCTCTAGGAAATCAGCATTATTAATGCGCAATTTACATAGTAGGTTGATAATTATTGTGAGGGCAAATGCAAAGAGAAATAAAGCAGTCTCTTTGGCATAAGTACTTTTTTATTAGTTTATAATATAAAATACAAAAGAAAATAGTGGGAAGAGGGAGAAGGAAAGGGAAAAGTGTAGGGCAAAGGGAAAAAAGAAAGAAAAGGCATTGGCTTCTGACTCCATTTGAGGCAAGAATA